AGCATACTTTACATTTTTGTGGAGAAAACTTACTTGAGCAGATAGTAGCATATTAAACCTATTAGCATAGGTACTTTATTTTACATATTTCAATAGCAGTTGACCTAATTAGTGTTTTAATCATATTCATTTACTTGCATATTTAAAAATATGTAGTGAAGTAATTTATAACTCCGCTTAACTCAAGCTTTGAAAGACCAAACGTTTCAGTTGAGGAGAAAAAATCTTTAAAAATACTGTCTTAGCTTGTCTAATTTTTTGTTCTCACACATTCAGCTATGTCCTTCATATTTGGCATTTTGATTTATTAGGCAATCTTAAAGTATTAAAGACTTTTTAACATACCAGTGCAGGACTTGAGCCGCATTGTACCTTGTGTCAATGATGAATTAATTCCAGTAGAGCACAAAAGTTACCATTATTTAAGCCCAGCTCCTCACCTCAACTTTTACATCATAGTCAAGTTTGAAAAGGCAGGATTTTAGCCTCTGTCTTGGAGGTGAAAGAATTTAATGGAGATGATCCTGGAGGATATCTTACAGTGGCTCGCATTCAGGATGTTTAATCTCGTGTGCTGTACATACATGTTGTATGTGTATAACTATAAACAGGCACCTTAATGTTGGTCAGTTGCTGGTATAGAGGTATTTGCTTCAGGAGGTGTATCTTGATGGTGGGACCACAGTCCCCCTGATGTCTGAACATACCGGGAGCTTGTGCTGGCTCCTGGTCTCCCTCTCTAGAGTATGGCCGACTAGTGACACACTGCTGGTCGCTGCTCCTTGAACGTGCAAAGACAGTGCCGTTCACAGAGGGACAAGATGGGCAGAGACGAGCAAGTCAACGCCTCATTTGCAGCAGCGCGCTGAGGGTGCCACCAGTAGGTAGGAGGCAACGAGTCGCATGCCCTCGCTCCCGCTCAGTGAAGGCTCCCCCTGGACCGGAGGAACATGCCCAAAATTGCCGCCAGCCTCCCTGAGATGAAAGGCTGACGTGTTTTCCAGAGGAACTTCTCTCAGAAAGATGGACCCCTGGTGGCAGCCGCGGAGCCGGGCTCGCCGGGACACCTGGGCCTGGTCGGGGCCGTGCCCCCCGCCCTGTGACTCCAGCTGCCGACTTGGGCAAAACCTGCACCTCCAAGGGGAAAATACCCCAAACAAGCCTGGCATTCGGTGCACCCTATCATAAAGTAAGGAGGTCTAATTGAGCTGTGCTTCTCTATCCTGCTATTTGTACAAATAAAAGACCACATCTTGATGCAAAATAAACACAAAAGCACTGTTGTGACTCTAACAGGGAGTCATATACTAATTTATATAATAAGTGGTTGTGCACGCTTTATTCAAGATTATGGCTGCAAGAAATGGCATGAATTGCTGGGTGTGTTTAATGCTGGATTATAGCAATTTGAAACATGTCAAACACATGGCTAATGCCTCATGCTTCACTCATTCTTGCGTAAACCTGCATAGCCACCATCCATTATACCCTTGGTAACAACACAATTCTGCAAGTAAATATTGTTACACTAAGTAACCTTTCAATTCAAGTTGTTTAGGAAGAGAAAATGCAATCTTGTGCAGTCAGTTCCAGTGTCAGTTTAATGTTTCAAAAGGGAAGTGGTGTAGAGAATAAGTATCTGTATGGCGACTTGCCGCTTTAAAACACACGCTCGCACACGTGTGCTTGCGGGTGCACGCGTGCACACGCACAAAACTCCCGATTTACTGCAGGGCACAAAAGTAAAACTGTAGCTGCTAACTTCAGAAGTCTGCTATTTTTTTTTTTTTTTTGATGTAGGCACTTGCCCGCGTTCCCCGGCGGAATTAAGCATTCGACCTGCCGCGCAACCGCGTGCTAAAATAACCCGCAGTTCCCTCTCCCTTCCCGGGAGCAGCGAGTATTTAGGGGAGGGTTAGGGAGTGCGATGGGGATCCGGCTGTGTACACGGAGGCACAGCTATTGCCCTCCTTGTCCTACCTGGAATATTGAACTTCAAGGCTTGATGTCAGGCAATCCTTGTGTTCTTATTTCCTTTGTATTTATTTACTGTTATTTATGATTATTATTCTGTCCAGCTGTTGTGAAAGCAAGAAAGCAAGTGTATTAGTTTACCTGGTAAGGTGTTAGTGGTGCAGATTATTTTGGCACAAATAACTGAAATTACTGCTGTATAGATATTAGAAATGATCCTCTTCCGGATATTTTCAGTGCTTTAATTTATGAGTGTGGAGAGTTGACAGTTCTTGTGCACACATGTGAGAACATTCACACACACGCGCATGAGAGAGAAGAGAGGGAGAAGAGAAAAATTCTGTGCTCTATTTTTTCAGCAGCTCTTTTTTAGCTAAGAGCAGTGATAAGGGGCCTTTGGACAACCAGCACCGAGCATTATTCAAACTGAAGTTTGAATACTGTTTTTTAAAATGCCCTTTTACAACTAGAAAAACATTTTATTTTAACATAAAATTCTATTGACTTTTTCATAAAAGATAAAAAC